ACTCAGAAGCGCACACTTCGAAGGTTATCCAATAATTTCTTTCACAGTGGAGGAATCCTGTATAGGAGGACTCCAGATTTGGGATTACTAAGGTGTGTCGAAGCAAAGGAAGCATCTAGGCTATTAGAGGAAATTCATGCAGGGACCTGCGGTCCACATATGAATGGCTTTGTCTTAGCCAAGAAAATACTCCGGGCAGGTTATTTGTGGATGACTATGGAAACAGACTGCATCTAGTATGTCCGAAAGTGTCATCATTGTCAGATACATGCAGACATGATAAAGGTGCCTCTTAATGAGCTTAATGCAACAAGTTTACCATGGTCGTTCGCCGCTTGGGGAATGGATGTTATCGGACCTATCGAGCCTGCAGCTTCAAACGGGCACAGGTTCATTCTAGTGGCAACCGATTATTTCACCAAATGGGTTGAAGCAGCATCATATAAGGCAGTGACTAAGAAATTCATGGACGACTTTGTCCGCGGCCGTATCATTTGTCGGTTCGGCATCCCAAAGTGTGAAACATCCCAAAGTGACCTGATGAAAGCAATGTGTGAAACATTCAAGATCAAACACAAGAATTCTATAGCCTACAGGCCTCAGATGAATGGAGCTGTAGAAGCGGCCAACAAAAATATCAACAAGATACTGAGGAAAATGATAGAAAAGCATAAGTAGTGGCATGAGAAGTTATCATTTGCCTTATTGGGATAACGTACCACAGTTCGCACATCAACCGGGGCAACTCCCTATATGTTGGTTTATGGTACAGAGGCAGTCATTCCCGCTGAGGTGGAAATTACCTCCTTGAGGATTATATAGGAAGCGGAACTTCACGATGCAGAATGGGTAAAAAGTCACTACGAGCAGCTAGCTCTTATAGATGGGAAGAGAATGAATGCAGTTTGCCATGGTCAATTGTATCAGAACATAATGTCTAGAGCCTTCAACAAAAGAGTCATGTCGAGACAGTTTACACCAGGACAGCTGGTGTTAAAGAAAATATTTCTACATCAAGATGAATCTAAAGGGAAATTCTCTCCTAACTGGCAAGGTCCGTACATGGTTTATCGAGTTCTAACCGGAGGAGCCCTTATACTTGCAAAAATGGACGGAGAAGTCTGGCCAAATCCGATCAATTCGGATGTAGTGAAGCAATACTATGTGTAACCATTTATGATTTCTTTATGATGTAATTTGAACTACGCCTGATCTGATTCCCGTTTAAGAGGGGATACGTAGGCAGCCCTATGGGTTCGGTCACAATTCAATAAAATTTTCATTTCCCCCCGCTATTGGAAACTGGGGTAGAATTTTGAGGAGGACCCTCAAAATTCCGAAGTTGATTTCAGTCATTTATCGCATGCAGCCGTCAGAAGCACAAGCCCAGTAAACTGGGGCAGAATTTTGAGGACCCTCAAAATTCCGGAGCAAGAGAGGTTGCAATGTCTTGAACCGCGTCGCAGTAGTTGGTTCATCTAAAGAAAACAATTTTCAACTATGTATTTATGGTACATTTTTTACTAAACCAGGCATGACTATTACCAAGTTGCTTTGTTTAGCAACACTACCCCAATGATACACAACGCCAAGCAGGACGAGCGAAATCCACGAGAAAACGGACTAACCTTTCCCCCCTTTACAAAACTCACGATTTTTGGATGCAGGCACCCAAGTCGCAAAATCATCGGATACTTACACACCCGCACTTTTCAAGAATACAACTCTCAGAATCACCACCTATTTACAATTGCTATCCGCACACGACATCCTCGGCAGCCACAATAACGCAATCAGCTATCAGCTATCATCTATCGGCTAAGAGATTTCATTACTATTCGCCTTTTTATTTCCCTGCATTGCATAAGGCTACCTTTCTGCCTTCCGAGGTTAAGCTCTACCTCCATCTGCATTTCTCTACATTGCATAAAGCTACCTTTCTGCCTTCCGAGGTTAAGCTCTACCTCCATCCTGCATTTCTCTACATTGCATAAGACTACCTTTCTGCCTTCCGAGGTTAAGCTCTACCTCCATCCGCATTTCTCTGCATTGCATAAGGCTACCTTTCTGCCTTTCGAGGTTAAGCTCTACCTCCATCTGTATTTTTTTGCATTGCATAAGGCTACCTTTCTGCCTTTCGAGGTTAAGCTCTACCTCCATCTTGCATTTCTCTACATTGCATAAGGCTACCTTTCTGCCTTCCGAGACTAAGCACTGTCTCCATCCTGCATTTCTCTGCATTGCATAAGGCTACCTTTCTATCTTCCGAGGTTAAGATCTACCTCCATCCTACATTTCTCTGCATTACATAAGGCTACCTTTCTGCCTTCCGAGACTAAGCACTGTCTCCAACCTGCATTTCTCTGCATTGCATAAGGCTACCTTTCTGCCTTCCGAAACTAAGCACTATCTCCATCCTGCATTTCTCTGCATTAAATAAGGCTACATTTCTGCCTTTCGAGACTTAGCACTGTCTCCATCCTGCATTTCTTTGCATTGCATAAGGCTACCTTTCTGCCTTTCGAGACTAAGCACTGTCTCCATCCTGCATTTCTCTGCATTGCATAAGGCTACCTTTCTGCCTTCCGAGATTAAGCACTGTCTCCATCCTGTATGGCTGAAATATCGCCACTTTATTTCTCTTGCATGGCTGAAATATCGCCACTTTATTTTTTCTTGCACGGCTGAAATACCGCCACCTTTTATTTACATCTTGCATCGGCTGAAAGATCGCCACCTTCTGCATTTCATGGACTGAAAGATCGCCACTTTCTCCATTTCATGGGCTAAAAGATCGCAAAATTGTCCAAAGGCATCATTGTTCGGAGGCACCATTTTCATAGCCCGAGAACGTCGTGCCATAGCCTGAGGACCTCATTTTATCTTTTGTATATCATTATTCAAAGGCATCATAGTTCGGAGGCATCATTCTCATGGCCCGAGAACATCATTTCATGGCCTGCGAATCCTTTATTATACGCTTCATGGCCCAGGTGATGTTCCAAACGTCAATACCATAGAAGACGGGGGGGGGGGTGATTTGTGTGGTACCTAATTTTCAATCTAGAAGAACCTGGTTCTTCTAGGTGTTCTAACTACTACTGTTGCGGAATTAAAAGTACAGAAAATAAAGAACACAGAGATTTTTACTTGGAAAACACCTGGCTCAAAAGGTGAAAAAACCACGACCTACTACTCAATTGGATTTTCCCAAACATCCACTAAAATCAATGAGCCAAAACAGCATTTACAAAACTCTTGTAAACCTAAGGATTAACTCTAATCCCTTTGTAGCACACAACCTCAACTATTGCGGTAAAACCTAGTTAGCCTATAACTTGATCACTCAAAATACCTATTACAAATACTTCTACAAAAAGCTGAAAGGTAAAACTTTAAACCACCTATTACAATTGAACTAGAATAAGAATAAACACAATGGAACTGGTTCTTCTATCTCGTTCAACTAGCTTCAGGAGTGCACACTTAAATCTTACATAAATTTCTTGCAAAATTGCCTTGCTCTTTTGCTCTCAATTTAGTTTAACTTCTGCGTATGTGCAATACCTATTAAAGAGAACAATCACAGTTATTTATTGAGTTAGTAGTCAGAGTTTGATTGAGACTCAATTGTTGATCTTCCATCGAAGTTGAGTCCTTGAACAATACAAACTCCAACCCTATCCTTGATCCGGATTGTGTTCTCTTCTCATAAGGAGACTTCTTCTCCTTATCCAATATGCAACCTTTTCGATCAGTTCAGGAGATATTGCTGCTTGATCCTTGAGACTTATCTCCTTCACGTGCATCTCACATGTATAGGTTGATAAACACTGTGTCTCACAAGATGGACCTGGACTGAGTTCATTTGTCAATCTTCAAAACTTCATCTGAACTTGGGCCAACAAATTCCCCCTTTTTAATGATGACAAACTCTGTGCTTTTACTGATCAGAGAACTTGTGGAACTCAGCTTAATCATCAACACTTTAACTTAGAAATTTTAACTTATCATCAAGGACCATATTTAATCAGGTTATAAATATCACATTATTCAGAATAACTAGTAAAGCACAATATCTCTTCCCCCTTTTGGCATCATCAAAAAGTTGCTTATATTGTGAATCCCATATTTTAGTAATTACTCTTGGCCACTGGGGCAACTGCAAATGAAAATATGGTTCAGTTAATCAATAATCAACTTAACAAAAATTAACTATTAAGATCAGAATCTTCATAGAACAAGAGAAAAAGCAAATTGTCATTGATTAGGAGATGTTTCTACAACCAGACCACAAAAAGAAAGAAAAACATCCAACCATGAACAACAAAAACAGAAAAAACCCCGAATCTGGGTCACTGGGGGGAGGGGGGGTTCTAGACTGGTTCAAAAGACAGGAACTGGAAGACCTAAGGCTTGGAGGAACTAGACGGTTGGGATTGGAGAAGATTGAGCATATTCTGAAGCATCCCTTCACTCTTTTCTTTTTCCTTTGCTAGCTCAGCTTTAAGGCCATCTCTCTCATTTTCCAGTTCAGCAACACGAGCCTGGAGCCTAGCAATTTTAGCATCTTTAGTTCCACATTCTTGAACCAAGGCCCTAACCTTGCTGTTCACAGGAGTCTTCAGAGATGAACCAGGTTCAATTGGGGCTACACTGAGTAGATAGTCACAAGCCTGTAGAGTTTTGACACCACAATACTCCTTGGTGGATGCCATCTCTCATTTCTTCAAAGGCACATTCAGCCTATCCAGAACAGTAGTCAGTATAAACCCATATGGAGTAGCATGAGCCTTGGAGCCATTTATGACCCTATCTAGCAGTTTGACAATAAAAGCAGGCCAGTTAATCTGTGTTCCTCTCACAAGGCACTCCATAAGGACTAAATCCATGTAGTTGGCAGTATGCCTTCTCTCCTGTCTGAACAGCAAGCACTTGTTAACAAACTCAAATAGCACCTTGTGCTCAAGCCTCATCTTACTTTTCTGCACAAACCTAGACTAAGGCACATCTTCAGCATTCTGAGTATCACAAAAAAATTTGGTGATTTGGAGAGCAGTAGGAAGAGAATCTAGACAAGGACACCTCTGCCTGGTATAGTCATCATAACCCTCACTGGGTATGTCTAGAATCTCACCCAATTTAGGTACATCAAACTGCACCTTTACTCCCTTCACCAAGCTGGTGACTACCCCATTTTTCACAGTGGCATTGGCCATGAACTCAATCAGCTCCTTCCTGGCCAGCCTCCCATATATTTGAAGGACCATGTCCTTCCACCCTTGTGCATCTAGGGCATCCACCAATCTTCTCATACCTAGCTCATCTAGGTATTTCAACAACCTGCCTTTCAAAAATTTTCTCCTGCCAAAGATGGCAAATCTATCCTATTCTTTCTCAGACTCCTCCTCTTCTTCTTCTTCTCCACTCCATTCTTCTTCTTCTTCAGTAATTTTTACTTGTTTCCCTTTCACTGCAGTTCTGGTTCTTTTGGCTAAGGAGGGTTCAGTAGATACAGGTTTAGAAGACTTCTTTGAAGAAGTCTTAGATCTTTTTGGTTTGGGAGTGGGAACCTTCACAGTTGTACCTATCTCTTGATGCATCAGTTCCATCTCCTCCTCTTCCTCTTCTGCAGCCTTAGAGCTTTCCACAACTTTAGCCTTTCCCTTCTCCTTCTTCTTTTTCCTGCTTTCTTCCAGAGTTTTTTGCAACTCTGCCTCACTTTGTTTGACCCTGCTTCAGTAGCTCTTCCCTTTGGTACTGAAGGGACAGTAGACTTAGGGGACGACACTTTGGTTTTCTTTGTTGGCTTGGAAGCAGTTGGAGCCTTTTGTGAAGAAGCTTTACGCTTCTTTGGATCATAGCTGGCTCCAACCTTTTTCAGGATGTCAGTTAGGGTTTCCTCAACAAATGAACAGGTTCATCTTGTTGCTCGCTCAGATGAACAAGACCTTCAGCAGCCTCCCCAGAGCCACTTCCCCCTGACTTGTTGCCACTCTCCTCCACACCTCCACAGATAGCCAGAACTTTTTCTTTCTTTTTACTTCCCCTTCTACTAGACTCAGACCCCTTTACATCTTTCATAGAACCAACCAGAACAAACCTATTATCTACCTTTTCTATTACATCAGAGAATACCAAGCAAGTATTTACCTCACCGGGGGTTTCTTGATTCTTGTCAGTGTTAGAATACCCATGTTCTTCACCTTCGCTGGCAGAGATAAAAGTTTCAGACTCAGAGGTGGAGTCAGATTCCTTAGCAGAACCTTCCTTCTTCTGGCTAGCCCTCAATTTCTCATTTAGAGCTTTTCTCAGAGAACCAGAAGATACAGTTTTTCTGGCTAACATTTTCTACCGGCGAAACATAGGTTTTGGGGTTTCACTAGGGGTGTAGACGAAGATGTATTAGGAGATACTGGTGGGGAAGGGCCTAGATTATCTTGAGGATTTGTCATGGTGAATTATTTCTGGAGAATTTTGGGAATTTTGGAGAGAAAGAGGATGATTAGAGTTTGGGGAGGGATTATTGACGGTTATGGACTTTAAAGAGGGATGTGGTGTGTATTTAAAGAAGATTATTATTAATTGCAGTAACGGCAGCTTTTTGCAGGAGTTAATTAGAAGTCTAATCACTTTAGAATTCCGGTCTCTTAGTGATTAATAGGCGACGCTAGTTTTTAGGCAAAAATCTCGTTTTCTTTAGAGTTCCAGGAGAATGAAACTGGTTCAATGCTCAACGGATAGAATTTTTGGGAGTTTAGTGAAAATAGGACTTCTGCTCATGATTGGAAAATTAATCCTTCTAATTGTGCAAAGTATAGAAACATACCTGAACTTTGTCATGAGCATATACTGATGAACCAGGTTCTTCAAGTAGAACTTCTCTTGAACATGCCTCAAATGTCAGAATAGAAAAAGACTTTGTAAGAGATCAGTGAGTCATATAAACACATGTCACAAGAGTATACTAATTAAAGTATGAGACTGAGTAAGAATTAGTCTAGATATTTACACAAAGTTAAGAACTTCTAACCAAAATAAACATTTTTTTTTCATGTTTCCTTTTTTTCATTGTGCATTCTGAACTGAACCTTTTAGGTGATCTTAATCATCCCTAATTCCAACCTGTTCCTCTCAAAGTATTCTCTACTAAGTGCTTTAGTGAAGATGTCAGCTATTTGTTTATCAGTAGCACAGAATTCTATTGAAATCAAACCTTTCTCATAGTTATCTCTTAAGAAGTGGTGTCTAACATCTATGTGCTTGGTCCTTTTATGATGAACAGGGTTCTTTGCCATACTTATAGCACTAGTGTTATCACAGAATATTGGTATACATCCCACTTCAATTCCAAAATCTACCAACTGTTGTTTGATCCATAGCAATTGAGCACAACAAGAAGCATCAACAACATATTCAGCTTCAGTAGTAGATAGGGCTACTGAATTTTGCTTTTTGGTAGCCCATGATACAAGACATGAACCAAGGAAGTGAGCCATACTTGAGGTGCTCTTCCTATCCACTAGGAAACCTGCATAATCAACATCAGCATATCCTACTAGATTGAAATTACTACCTTTGGGATACCAAAGACACAAATCAGTGGTGCCTTTCAGATATCTCAATATCCTCTTGACAGCAGTCAAGTAAGGCTCTTTTGGATTTGCCTGAAAACGAGCATAAAGCCCTACACTGAAAACAATGTCAGGTCTGCTGGCAGTAAGATACAAGAGTGAACCAATCATACCCCTATGGAACTTTTGATCTACTGATGAACTAGGTTCATCAACATCTAATTCAGTGGCAGTTGCAATATGTGTATCTATTTCTTTAGAATCCTCTATTTTAAACTTTTTGATTAGTTCTTTTGTATACTTCTGCTGATGGATCATGGTTCCATTTGGACTTTGTTTGATCTGCAAACCTAAGAAGAAGTTAAGCTCACCCATCATGCTCATTTCAAACTCACTCCCCATTAGTTTTTCAAAGTCCTTACTCAACCTATCAGTAGTGGCCCCAAATATTATGTTACCTTTTTCCCTTAAGAACAAGGTACTGTCAATTTTACCTCTTTTGTAACCATGCTCCAGTAGGAATTTTGATAGCCATTCATACCAAGCTCTTGGGGCCTGCTTGAGCCCATATAGAGCTTTGTCTAACTTGTACACATGCTCAGGACATTTCTTGCTTTCAAATCCTGAAGGTTGTTTCACAAATACTTCTTCCTTTAGGTAGCCATTTAGGAAGGCACTTTTGACATCCATCTGATGGAGAGTGAATTCCATGTGTGCTGCAAAGGCTATGAGGAGTCTGATTGCCTCTAGTCTTGCAACTGGAGCAAAAGTCTCATCATAGTCAATGCCCTCCTCTTGGCTGTAGCCTTGAACCACCAACCTTGCCTTGTTTCTTGTAACTGTTCCATTTTCATCAAGTTTGTTCCTGAAGACCCATTTTGTGCTAATGACTGATCTGTCCTTGGGTCTTGGAACTAGATGCCAAACTTGACTTCTTTCAAATTGTTTGAGTTCATCCTGCATTGCATTCACCCAATCTGCATCCTGCAAAGCCTCAACAACATTTTTAGGTTCAATAAGAGATAGAAAAGCATAAAACGCACACAGATTCTTTAGTTGAGATCTAGTTTTGACTACAGATGTTGGATCAGTAATGATGTTCTCAATGGGATGAGAACTTTGATACTTGTGAGATTTCACAACCAACTGGTTCTACTAGAAGTTTCTCCTTTGTTTTGTTGCTGAGGAACAGGTTCATGAACAGGTTCTTTTAGGGAATTTGATTTAATTTCTCCTTGATTAGTTCCCCCTGTCAGGTTACCCTAAGTGGAAGGACCTGTTCCATCACCTGTTCCTTCATTTGATGCCACTTTGACTTGTGTTGGAGATTCAGTCAATTCTTTTACCAATCCAATGGCTTCATCTTCATGTTCATGTCTCTCAGAGAGAATGTTAGTTTCATCAAATACAACATGCACATTTTCTTCTACACACGAAGTTCTTTTATTGAACACTTTATATGCTTTGCTATGTGAAGAATATCCCAAGAATACTCCCTCATCACTTCTGGGATCAAACTTACCTAGGTAGTCTTTTCCATTATTGTGCACATAACACTTGCAACCAAATGCCCTAAGAGGGGATATATTTGGTTTTCTCCCTTTAAGTAACTCATAGGGAGTTTTCTCTACAAGAGGTCTAGTCATGCATCTATTGATTATGTAGCATGCAGTGTTTACAGCCTTTGCCCAGAAGCTGTGAGGTAGTTTACTAAAAAGAAGCATGGTCCTTGCCATATCCTCAAGGGTTCTGTTCTTCCTTTCAACTACTCCATTTTGCTGAGGGGTCCTAGGGGCAGAGAAGTTATGATCTATACCATTTTCATCACAGAATTCAGCAAACTTTGCATTTTGAAATTCAGTTCCATGATCAGACCTAATGGATGCAAGTTGATTTCCTAATTGTTTCTGAGTTTTCTAACAAAGGCAATAAACATTTCAAATGCTTCATCTTTAGATGTCAGAAATAGTACCCAGGTAAATCTAGAGTAATCATCGAAACCATTACATATTTCTTTTCACATCTGCTCATGGTTCTCATTGGACCACAAAGATCCATATGAACTAGTTCCAACGTCTTGGACGTACTTACCATTTTCTTGGATTTGAAAGATGACTTTACCTGCTTCCCCCTTGCACATGCCTTACATACTCTGTCTTCCTTGAACTTGATGTTAGGTAACCCTATCACCAAGTCCTTAAAGACTAATTTGTTTAGCCGATTTAGACTGGCATGACCAAGTCTTTTGTGCCACATGAGGGGATCATTAACTAACACACTTAAGCAAGTGAGTTCGTTTTCTGAAAGAGTTGAAAAATCTACAATGTAAATATTGCTAACTCTTTTTCCCTGCAAAATAATCTTGTCAGTGGTAAGGTTAATCACAAAGCATTTGGTAGAGGTGAAAGCTACAAAATTACCTCTGTCACACAGTTGTGATACACTTATTAGGCTATATTTCAAGCCATCTATCAAGTAGACATTCTCAATAGAATGAGAGTCTGTCTTACCTACCTTTCCAACCCCAATGATCTCACCTTTCATTCCATTACCAAAGGAGACATTACCTCCTTTTAGGTCCTCAGGTGAAAGGAACTGGTCCTTATTCCCAGTCATATGTTTTGAGCAACCACTATCCATATACCATATTTGGCTCATCCCTTTTACTTGGACCTGCAAAAAGAAATCAGGGGTTAGTCTTAGGAACCCAAACTAGTTTGGGTCCCTTTCTATAGGAAAAGATGAATCAGATTCTTTCTTGCCCAACCAGGCAGCTTGTGTTTCTCTTGAACAAAAGCTTTGTTCTTTTGACTGGCCTTTTCTTTTGCATTGCATTCATTTTTGTAATGGCCAGTCTTGCCACAGTGTGTGCAAATTTTATTCTCAGGAAGTGTGAGGTACTTGCTTTTAGGGTCCCATTTTGGAGCTTGAGTCCCATAACCAAGTCCTCTTTTGTTGCTACTATGATGTTCTTGCAACCAAGAGAGTGCATCAGAAGCCTTGTTCCATTTGCAAGTTCTGTCTAGTTCATGTTTCACCTTTCCTAGATCTTCTTTTAGGACTTTGATCAATTCATCTTTCTTATACAACTCATCTTTCATTTTTCCTAAATTTCTTCTAGAGTGAGATATGAGTGATCAGCCTTCTTCTTTCCTGTTCCTAGTTTCAGTTTTAGGTTTTCAGATCTAAGTTCTAGAACACTGTTGTCAAGTTCAAGAACCTGGTTCTTCAACTCAGCATTTTTGTTATCACTCTCATCAGCCCTAGACTCTAGACTTTTGCATTTTGCTTTTAGGATAACACATTCCCTAGACAGAACTTCCTTCTCATTGTTAACTATCTCAGACTCATCAATGAAGTCTAATAATAGCTCAGCCAGCCTTTCTTTAGACAAAAATTTAATCTTGTCTTTGAGATGCTGAATACTTACCTCTTGTTCATCATCTGATTCTCCGATGACCATAAGAGCTTGCTCATCTTCGGCTTCATCTTCTGAGTCCTCATCTGAAGTTTCACCCCAGGCAGCAACCATAGCCTTAGTTGACCCTTTGTTTCTTCTTGGTTGAACTTGTTCCTTCTTCCTGTTTCTTCTTTCTGCCCTTTCTTTCTTCCATTCAATCTCCCATTGAGGACAGTTCTTGATCATGTGATCAGTCTTACCACATTTGAAGCGGCCCTCATTTATCTATTTCTCAGGGGCCCTAGGTTTGTTGAAAGTTGTTCCTCTTGAAGAACCCTTTCCTCTCATCAGATACTTTTTGAAGTCCCTAGTGA